AGAGAAGGAAAGGGAGAGGAAGGAAGAAAGAGAGGGAGAAGAGAGGATATCTGTGTTCTTGGCTTTCCCCCTCCTTCCATTTCATCTAGTTCCCTAGTCTACTGGCTAGTGCAGTCCATAGTCAGGGCAGGTATGCCCAGCTTGGTTAATCCTGTCTGGAAACATTCTCATGACACACCAGAGCTGTGCTTCTCAAATCTCCTAGGTGCCCCTCACTGCAATGAAGTTCGAAAGATTAACCATCACACCAAGACAGGGATGGGTCTCATGTCCACTCTCACATTCTGTGTGATGAGTAATGAGTGAGGCTGCCTGGTGACATCACATAGTTGTCTCCTTTGGGAAATGGCACTACAGTGCTCACGAGAGAACAATGTTGGAAAGGGCCGATCAAGTCTCCTGGAAACATTTTGATGTGCTAGGCTCCCAGGCTATGCCTTCAGAACCATCTTGACAGAAAACTTGAAATTGAGCTTTATCTTCCTTTCTATGTTGTTATCTAGAAGCTGAAGTCAGCCAGGAAAGAAATGCACAGGTCTAGGGAGAGCTCAAAGGCTTAAGGCAGTGCCCAGCAAAGAGATTTGACAGTGGAAAACACAACTCACAACATAGTTATTATATTTTAAATCTCCTGATGTCTGAACACAATAGCCCAAGACACCTGATGTCTAAGATGGGCACAAATATGGGAATTAAAATGCTTTGGGTATTAGCGGGAAAGTTACACTTGATTTAGAACTTTTAGTTTGTTTTGACTTGGAGACATATCAGAAAGAATATCATAAGATGTAATGACATTGTTGGTAACTAGAAGGCATCCTTGGGGTGAGATGTATCCCAGGGTACCCTTCAGAGATGATGTCATCCAGCCAATCACCTTGCCTGTATTTTGGCAGAGCAACAGACAGACCAACATCTTGATCATTGCTTGCTGTGTGGGGTTTGTGCTGATGGTGTCAATATTTCTGGCATTTCTCCTTCGAGGTAAGGTGGGTAGGGCCAGATGTGATAGACCTGCAGGACTGGATGTTTGTGGGTGGACTGAAAAGCTGTGGGGACTCAGGAGTGTCAATGAAGGGGGGATATTTCTGTTTTCTCCTCTTTCCTTTTATCCTGAAAAGGACCAGTTCCCTCACTGTCCTCACCCCAGCCATGGGGGTGACAGGTAAATTCATCACCACCAAATGGCTTTCTTTGTAAAGAAAAGCCTAATAATGCTGACACTTTGATAATTAAAAAATGGGACCAAGAGCACTTTCATTGATAGGACACAGATGCCATACACAAGATACTGCCTTATGTAGAAAGGACTGTTGTTACTCCTCTCTCTCTCTCTCTGAGTTTTTTGTAGCCCTCACTCTATAGATCAGGCTAGCCTCCAGCTCAAAGATCCGCCTGCCTTTTCTTGAGTGCTGGAATTAAAAGCATGTGCCACCACTGCCAAGGTATTCTCTTTATAAAATCAATATTTACTTATTTTTTTGTGTGTGGGTGTTTTGCCTACATATATGTCTGTATACCAAATGTTTGCCTGGTGCTCACAGAAACCAGAAGAGGGCATCAGATACTTTGGAACTAGAGTTACAGACAATTGTGAACTGCCATGTCAGTGCTGGGAATTGAACCTGGGTCCTTTGGAAAAATATCCTGTGCTCCTAATCACTGGCCCATCTTTCTAGCCCTGATACTCCTTTCTTACAGTTCGAAACACCCTTGAACCCCTGTCATATATTTTCAGGAAGTGTCACAGGAGTAAAACTGTGAACAGTCTTGCTCTATGTGCACCTTTAAAGCAGGTTTGCTTAGGGACCACAGGTGGCCTTCAGGAGAAAGAATTCTCGGAAATGGTTTGTCAATACGTTCATGTTTCCATACCTACATTTTTCAGGGGATAGGGCCCAAAGTTTTTTTAAAATTATAAAGCTCAGCTGTGATTTTACACCTTCCCCACCTTAAAAGCAAAACTATAAATACTGCAAAAAGGAGCTATGAAATAAGCATTATGGTTTTCATATAAAGCACAGGCACACAGCACCCACTACTGTTATAAAACAAGAAAACTGGTACTTCACAGCAGTCAGCCGTGAGATAAGATTATTTACAATTGAACGTGCCCTTGGAGAATGCTGCAAAACCTATTCAGAACTTCCTGGAGGCTTGCTATTAGTGCTTATATGAAGTCATAGCTGCTGTTTTGGATGATTGTTGGTATATCTCATAAAAAGTGCTTTAAAACCCAAATGAGGTGCTGGGGAGGTAGGTTAGTCAGTAAAGACTTTGCCACTCAAGCATGAAGACCTGAGTTTGATACTCAGAACCCATGCAAAAAGGCCAAGCATTGTGGCATTTGCTTGCACATGTATGAATATCTACAGACATGTATGCACACACACAAAGTTAGATGAGCCCTCATTATGTTACTAAATAACTGAAAAGTGCAGTAGCTTACACCCTTTAAGCAGAGCATTGTTCAACCCTTATCAGAGAGGCTCCTTCTTGCAGTAGATGGCAAATAACAAAGAAATCCTCAACTGGACAATGTGCAGAGAGTGACAGACTTTGGAACACTCCGCCCCAAATGAGATAGATGTCTTTATCAAACCCTTCCTCTCAAGGCTCAGGGTTCTATTTGGAAGAGGAGGCAGCAAGATTACAAGAGCCAGAGATGGCTCCAAGTAAACAGTATATTTCAGACACAACAGGCCTGATGCACATATGAAATCACAGGGACTGTGACAGCCTGCACAGAGCCTGCACATGGCATGCACAGGCCCTGTACAGATTCAAGCTAGACAAAAATCCCAGCCCTGAGAAGGGAAGTAGACACAGAGTCCCAGTCCTAAAACAGAACCTATTTGCAATTGGTACCTGCTGGGAAAATCAGTTTTCTCCAATGGAGTGTCACTGGATATATCAACCATAGTCTAAGACAGGCCCCATAGCTTGCCAACACAAAATGAATTCCATTTTTTCTTTTCTTTCGTGTGTGTGTGTGTGTGTGTGTGTGTGTGTGTGTGTGTGTGTATGTGTATGTGTGTATGTACTTTGTTTTATATTTTTTGTCTTATTGTTTATTGATTTTCTTTCTTTCAGTGTGTTTATTTTGATTTTCATTGTTGTTGTTTTCCAGGGTTTTTTTTAATGTTTTGAGAGAGAGAGGGAGAGAGGGAGAGAGGAAGAGAGGGAGGGAGGAAGAGAAAGAGGGAGGGAGGGAGGGAGAGAGAGAGACAGAGAGAGAGAGAGAGAGAGAGAGAGAGAGAGAGAGAGAGAGAGAGAGAGAGAGAGAGAGAACATGAATATGAAAGTGGGTGGGTAGGGAGGTGGGGAGGAACTGGGAGGAGTTGAGGAAGAGAAAGAAAAATGACCAAAATATGTTTTATTAAAAAAACATTTTAAAATCTAGCAACACCATCATCAACCCGGGAAGGAGAGGCTGTCCTCGCCAATGCTAATCTAGTCTATTTGGAAGGGGGTGGACTTTTCCCAGCAGTTCACAGAGCTCTGCTCACATTGTGGCCTTGTTTTTTCAGGGAGAGTCACAGCAGCCAATTGTTTGCGGAGACACAAGAGGTAATTCATCTTGCATGGCCGATTGTTGCGATGATTATACAGGCTGCTGCACATGATTAGATACTACTCAGTGGTTTAATGACTTGTGCTTATGTTCTGATGAAACACAGGGTTAGAGAGACATTGCATTAGAGGCAGAAAAGGCTGTGGAGTCTTAACTCACATTAACCTCTGTCTCAGTTAACATTACATGTGTGTCCAAAATAGGACCAAGAAAAGCAGGGAGCATTATTGAAAGTATTGAAAGTATAGCATGAGAAAGGGGACATGTGCCACAGTGTCCTCTGCTTGAAGCTATTGTAGCACTTGTTTCAAAGGCACATTGTTTGTATGGAGTCACTGAGAAGAGGGTTAGCAATATGGAAATTAGATAAAGTGTTTGCAACATTCTTCCCGCGATTTGGTTCCTTTGCCCCATAGACCAGCATGTTTCACTGCTTGCTTTTATTTTTTAAGAGTATGTGAAGAATCTCTGGGATTAGATTTTGAATATCTACTCTGTTTATAGCTTTTAGGGTGCAACAAATGAAAAGATTTGGTACAAATCATTGCAGCAATTAATTGTATCAGCACCACAGCATTTATTAACAATGATGCATTATTAGGCAGGGGAACAGAGGCCCTGCAAGGTGACTTTCTGAGTTCAAAGCTTGGGATCCCTTGAGACATCAATGCATTTAGATCATGATTTTATACTCTTCAAAGCAAGTTGTATTCTCTTTATTGTAACAGGTTGGCAAAAGTCCTCTGTGCTCTATAGCCTCCGTTTTCCCACCTGTAAAATAGGAAGCTTGGGCAGGATAGAATCTGAGTCTGGTGTCCTCAGCCTGGGTTAGCAGGTCCTTTGATCTTGCCTTTTCTGGTTTTTAATCAGCCTGTTCCTCTCTTCACAGGCCAGACAACATTGAAGATCGTAAAAGTGTCCTCAATGACATGTCACATGCACAGGATGATGAAGACGGAATCTTTACTCTCTAACTTGTCACCTTTTCGTAGAATTAAGCATGGGGGATGATGTTTGAATTGTGTAATTATAATTTTGGGGACATTGCAATTTTCTTTTAAGGTCTCACTTTTTTTTCACTGATGCTATGGGTCCGGTCTCACTTTATCTTCCCGCATGAAGGTGCTTCGGAGACACTTCTTCCTGCTTAGTGCTTTAGTCCTCTCTGTGGTTTTGTGGCCAGGTGATCTTTTTCCACTGGGCTTGTTACTGTCAGTGATAGTGAACTCATTGCCACAGCCGTGGGAGTCCCTTCAATCTCTCAACAGTAGGGGGAGTTAGAAATACCCAAAGCAAAAATTCCTTCTGCAGACAGCATAGCCTGTTGGTGGTAGCCGACCTCCATCAACACAGTGCTCATTTAATCTGTCTGGCTTCTTCCAGGTATCAAGTTACCTTTCTTCTGAGACACAAGTTTTGGTCCATTTCCTACCCCGTGTGCCTGTGTCTCCCTTTTTCTGCCAGCTTTCTGAGTTCAGTGCCCACATTGGGTGTAGTATGAGCAGACCAATGCTTCATTCGGGGTGCAGGTAATACCACAGAATCACATCAAAAGCAAGTGCTTTAAAACTGACCATAGTGCCACTTGAACTCTTGCCAGAGAAACTGGACTTTGGAAGCAGCCCAGTGCCCATCAGAGCAAGGGTATCAAATGACAAGGATTATGCACAGATGAAACACTGAAGCCGCCTAAGTAAATTCCTCTAAGTATAATTCATTGTAATTGCAGCCCAGGAAGAACAGATTTATCTTAAAACTTTAATTATTACTAGTATGAGGAACCCTGAGAGAGAAATAAAAGCAAATAGCTGTGGAATCAATAAATGTAAGAAAACATGTCTGAGTGAGGATGCTCCTGGCTGGCTACTATGGAAAGCTAGCTAGATCTGAAAGACATTTCTCAAACTTCCCTCATGCTCAGAGCAGCAATATCATTAAAGGAAGAAGCCTGTGGTCCTCTATCTAACCCACCTTTGCATTTTTACTCCCTTAACATCACTTTTAAGAGGCAAACAGAAATTGTGAGAAGGATCAGCTGGGAAAGGAGCTTGCTGCCAAGTTTGATCTCTAGGACCCATATGGTGCAAGGAGAGGGCCTATTCTTGCAAGTTGTCTTCTGATGTCCACACCCTTGCCATAGCATGCACCTCCCTATAGTATGCACATACACACAAATTATAAAATAACACACACACACTCACACTCACACACGTGACAAACAAAATTAGTCTCATGGTACAGCCTATAGATCTGTCACCCTGTAACTTAGTTGACATGACATGATCCAATTGGTAAGAACCCATGCCCAACCCTCTCATTGGGACATTTATTCACCCTAGCCACCTGGAGGAAGGACACAGAGAGGATGAAGAGACAAGGAAAATGAAAAGCCTTTGATTTAGGCCAGCATGCGGACCAGTCACATAATGGATGGATAACCACATAACAGACGGACAGCCTCATAGGGGATGCGCTTTAAAGAAAGGAAGGAAGGAAGGAAGGAAGGAAGGAAGGAAGAAAGGAAGGAAGGAAGGAAGGAAGAGAGAGAGAAAGAAAGAAGAAAGAAAGAAGAAAGAAAGAAAGAAAGAAAGAAAGGAAGGAAGGAAGGAAGGAAGGAAGGAAGGAAGAAAGAAAGAAAGAGAGAAAGAAAGAAGCCTAAAGTGATAGGGAAATGGTGCTTAGGACAGAGATAGAAAGAAGCAAAGGGAAAGTTATGACTTTTGAGTAATTCAGAGAAGTGGGCAGACTTAGGAAGCTGCCTGGCTGCATCTCTGCAAGTGAGGCAGAGGAATTCTGGGAAGGAAAATAAAAATATCACTAAAGGGATCACTTTTCATCCCTTCTCTTTAGCATGGCTTACTGTGAACCTGCCTTCCTAAAGGGTGGTCTCTTGGGCAGATGATTGACCAGCCCCACAGGGTTCTCTCTTCAGGGAGCAGAGGTGTGTCTCCATGTACGTTCTTTAAGGTCGGAGCACCACCCTCCGCTGTGCCAGCCAGGCTGTTTTGAAGCTGTGTGCTTCGACCCAGCAGCCACCACGCCATCTGAGCTTGTTAGGAATATGAATTCTTGCCCTCATTCTATACCTGCTGAACCAGAAACTGCAGGGAGAGCCTGGATATTGGGGTTTAGCAAGCTCTTACAGAGTAATAGCTCCAAACAGGTGGGGTCTCCCTTTCTCAGACTATGTAGTGGCAACCCTGAATGAATAAAGGGTCATGGGCTTCCTCAGTCAGAAGGCAGGGGTACTATAGATTCAACTCTCAGATGATCTGCCTGACTTTTGAAGTGTCTTCCTACCAGGAACCAACAGCTACCCTCTTTTCCCTGCTAATGTTTTCCCCATGTACCGCCAGGGATGTTTCTCCTCAGCACAAGCCAGAGAGTCCTGGTTCCTGACTTTCAGCTCTTAAACCCACAGAGATGTTCTTCCTAGGGCAGAGAATAAACTGATGACTTCAGCAGCCAGCCAGTCAATGCAGTGAGTAGAGGAATTGAAAGCAACTGTGGACAATGAGAATGTGCATATGTCTAATTAAAGACATTGCTGGGCAGTGGTGATGCATGCCTTTAATCCCAGCACTTGAGAGGCAGAGCCAGGTGGATCTCTGTGAGTTCGAGGCCAGCCTGGTCTACAGAGTGAGATCCAGGACAGGCACCAAAACTACACAGAGAAACCCTGTCTCTAAAAACAAAAACAAAACAAAACAAAACAACAACAACAAAAAAATAAAGACATAAAAATTCAGTTTGCTTGCATATGTCCCATGCAAGCAATCATATGGCTGTGGGTTAGGACAAGGAGACCAGCTTTAGACTAGATTTATAAAATGATGAGCTAATTTAAAACCAAACTGTGGATGTAGCTCAGTGGTAGAGCATTTGACTAGCATGGGCAAAGCCCTGGGTTCCATATCCAGCACCCTTAAGTATACTAAGACTCCTTGACTAGAGGTGGGTTTTGGTATAGCTATTTATTTATTCTCTTTGTGTAGTCAGGATGAACTGGTAGCTTGTGCAAACAACTTTCTAGTATCCATTTTGTGCTAGAATAGAGGCCAGTGTGTGTGTGTGGGGGGGGGGGGGTTGTTATTAAGGAGTTTAAAGTCTAAATGAGACAAAACACACCTAGTATAAGTGATGGACTGGAATCCTGTTGTTTCTCATTTCCGCAAGGAAAGACTTTGATGTGCAGTGGCTCTTACAACTGGTGTGCATAGAGGAAGGCCACAATCTAATCCTGAGGGTTTATAGCAACCTAGTTTTTCAACCCTGGCCTTGGAATAAAATAGGCAACACAATCATCAGAGGTCTAAATTGCATTCTGGGCACTCAACTAAGGGTTTCAAGACAAGCATCGAATCTGGAAGTAGTTCATCAAAGCTGGCTTGTTACCCCTTATTCAGAGCTCAGAAAACCGAAGCATAGACACAAAAGAACTCACTCAAGGTCATGTAGTTCAATCTCCTGCAGCAGAGTCAGGCCTTGAACCAAGCTTGAAGGACCCCTATCCTCTTTTTGTTTTGCTTTGCTTTTTTGAGATAGATTCTAGTGTGTCCCATGCTGGCTTTGAACTTGCTATGTCGCTGAAGATGACTTTGAAGTCCTGATTTTCCTGCCTCCATTTCCTAAGTGTTGGGGGTTATCTGATGCTCTAGCCTTTATCCTGAACTTTCCAGTAAGGACTTTAGTTCATGACTTCATGCACTGCGTCTCCAGCCTTGGCCTTCATTGGGCCCGAATGGACTTCAGTTTACTGGGATCACTGGCAATTTGAATGTATTGACTGTTCACCCACTGCACCCCCTTTGCGGCTCAGTCTTCCTTGTCCCCCATGTTATTGACTCAGAACCCAATTTGCATTTGCAGAGAAAGCAGCAGCGGAGAACCTGGCAGGAGCCTTAATGAAGCCAGGTGGGACACATTTAAACGGGAATGTGAGGAAGTAACTCACAAAGAGCCGAAGCCAGCTGTCAGCAGGCTTAATGAAAGGTTAACAGGAATTCTGCAATGGCTGGCTGGGGAGACTCTTTGTCTCTCTAAAGAAAACAGAAAGCTGAGAAGTGGGCTCCCTGGGTGGACACAAGAGCAGAAGGAGGAAGCCACTTGAAACCACAGGACGGAATCTGTAAACAGAGTTTCATTTAGCTTGGTAAACCTGCTACAGTCTTTAAAGGGAAAAAGAAAATGCCTTGAGTTCTTGTTGCTCTGAGCATCGGAGGACAGCAGGGGGAAGTGTTCCCCAATAAAAGGAATGCCAGTGCTGTCCTGAAGCACTAGCGTGGGGAGCCCGGAGATGATTACTCCGTGGAACAGAAGGTCGGTGGGAGCAAAAAGACTCTGTTCTGAACCGGTGCACGGTCTCCATATTGGAAATGGACTAGCTGGGTCAGAGGCCCTTATATCGTTTTCATCTCAAATAGTCAGCTGGAGAAACTGAGGCCAACAAAGGAGGCAAGGAGTTGCTCTGGGCCAGACAATAAGCATACTTAAAACTGTGTCCCTTAAACGTTAGTCTGGAAATGTCATTAACTTGATTCTTGGATACTTTCCAAGTTCCCCGGATCTGCCTGGTTATTACTGACCCTTGTGCCCACTCAAATCCACTAATCCATTATGTTCTATAGGTGTGGCCACACATCTCAACATTTCTTTTCCTAACTATACATCGATGCCATCTTTCTCAGTACCCTCCTGACCCATGATGCACTACTGTTTCCAGAAAGAGGAACTGGAGTGTGCAAGTACACAGCCAGGCTGCTCTGTTGCTCTCTTACATCCTGACTATGAGGCTAATGTGTCCAGGTTTGCTCAGGACTTTTCCAGTTTTGAAAGTTCCAAATCTATCATGCTGGAGAAGCATCCCCTGACCGGTCCTGGGCAAACATTGATGACTACTCAATCTAAGTCCATACCAGAGATCAGAGACAAGCACTCACAGAACTTGCACTTGACTTTCTGATCATGATCACTTTCCTGTGACTCTGAAGTTGATGAGATTCAGTGTTTGAATGGACTACTATCAGATCTAGATTCTAGAAGCTTCTGGT